ACCCCCCGCTCTGCTCCAGGTGGCAGTGAAGCCCTTCCTGTACCCGTCGGTGGATGGGCCGTGCAGCCAGTGCGGGCACCACATGGGGCCCCAGCTGCCCCTTCCCCCGCCGCCAGCCCCCATGGGTGCTGGGGACGGGCTGGGACCCCCTCCGTAGGGGGCAAGCGGGGGACCCCAAGGACGACCGGACACCGACCTCTGCGCTGGAGGTCCCGTCTGGTGGCTGGACCCCGGAGGAGCTCCCTGCAGGGCACCCGGACACCTGGGCCCTCTGCCGCGACTGTGAGGGGCTTTGCTATTTATATGCCTTTTTCCTTAAAAAGTGGTGAACAACCCCCCAGCTGTGGCAGTTTTGGGGGTGGGGAGGGCCATGCAAGCCGTGGCGGGGCAGTGACCGSGTGCCCCCGCACCCATGGGTGCACCGGTGACCCCCAACCCAGAGGCACCCGGTGCCGCCCCGGCGCACCCTGGGCGCAGCCTGGACTTTGCCAGGTGGCAGGGCCCGCGTGGTGGCACRTGAGTCCGTGTCACGCCGGGGTCAGGGCCGCCGTCACCAGCCGGGGGACACGGTGCCGCTGGCACCTCCCGCTTTATTGACCCCGCAGCGGCCGCGGCCGGAGCGCGGCGCCCACCCACGGTGCCACCAAGTGCCACCGCGGGGCTGTCCCCAGCGTCCCCTCAGGCCGCCTTGCGTCCCCGGCGCCACTTGATCCTCTTCTTGAGCAGCAGCAGGTCCACGTAGAGCAGGCGGCCGAGCACGGCGGAGGCGCAGAGCAGCCCGCCGTGCAGCGCGCCCGCCAGCCCGCAGCTGAACACGTCCTGCCCTGGGGACACGRGGCGCCGCGTGGGCACGGGGCCGGCGCCGCCGCGCGCCCCGCGCCGCCCGGCCTCCCCGTACCCGTCAGGTAGAGGTTCCTGATGGGCGTCTGGGCGCGCATGGCGGCCACCACGTGCGGYGCGAAGCGGCCCACGTCGTGCTCGGCCCCGTACATCTCCCCGCGCGGCGCCGCCAGGTAGTGCTGGTTGGTGAGCGGCGACGCGGCCTCCACGAACTCCACCTGGTGAGCGGCCTCCAGGCTGGCACCGTGCTGGGGACGGGCCACCCCCCACCATGGGGTCCCAAAGCCCATGGGGTCCCAACCTCATCCCCACCGGGCACCCCGTCCCCGCAGGCACCTGGGACCCCGTGGGGTTCCCAAACCCTGTGGGATTCCAACCTCATCCCCACCAGGCACCCCGTCCCCGCAGGCACCTGGGACCCTGCAGGGTTCCAAAGCCCATGGGGTCCCAATCTCATCCCCACCGGCACCCCGTCCCCGCAGGCACCTGGGACCCCGTGGGGTTCCCAAAACCTATGGAGTCCCAACCTCATCCCTGCCGGGCACCCCGTCCTGCAGAGCCCTCACGCCACCAGGGCACCCTGTCCCCGCTGCCCCCCATCGCCGCCCACACTCTCCCCAGCCCCGCAGGGTCCCCAGTGGGGCGCGCGGCGTCCCCGGCGTCACCTTGTCGCGGAGGTGCGGGAAGCGCTGCAGGGCGCGCTCCAGCAGGCGCTGCGCGATGGCCTCCTTGTAGGCCTCGTAGCCGGCGCCGCGGTGCTTGGCGCGGGTGCCGGCCCACTCCTCGAACCACTCGTACCGCGCCATGGTCAGCAGCGTCATGCACGAGCGCCCTGCGGGGACACGGGAGTGCCCGGGGGCCGCCTCGCGCGGGGACCCCCATCGGTGTCACCCCGGGACGCGCGGGCGGCAGCGCCCGGCCCCTAATCCACCTCCTCACAATGGATTAAGGAGCCTCTGATCCGGCAAAGCCGAGAGGATCAAGGCTGCGGAGGCATCCCGGTGGGGGTGGCACCAGGGCGGGGGGGTGGTCCGGCCGTACCTGGGTGCCTCTCCTCGTAGCTGGGGTCCTTGGCGGCGGGGAAGGTGATGAACATCATGGCCAGGTTGTCGGGGACCTCGTCGGCGCGCAGGGCGGCGTAGCGGCTCATCCTGYGGGCGCAGCGCTGGGCACCGGCCCCCCACGGGTGCCCCCCAGCCCCGCGCCCCTTCCTTACATGCCGTCCAGGTCGTTGTGGGGGTAGAGCCAGAAGTTGGTGGCGGGCAGGGCGAGCTCGGCGGCGGTGCCGCGCAGCCCCACGAACACCAGGAAGGAGCCCATGCCGTGGCGCACCATGTCCAGGCGGGAGCGCACGCCTGCGGGCAGCCGGGCGGGAGGCACCGGCACGGGGGCACCGGCACCGGCGGGGGAACGTCGCGGCACCGGGGGGGATGTCACAGCATTGGGGGGGACATTGCAGCACCGAAGGGACGTCGTGGCACCGAGGGGATGTCGTGGCACCGGGGGGGACATTGCGACACCAGAGGGGGAAGTCGTGAGACCCGAGGGGAATGTTGCAGCACCAGGGAGGGACATTGGCACCAGGGGCACATCATGGCACCAAGGGGATGTCGTGGCACCGGGTGGGACATCGCAGGACACGGGGGATGTCGTGGCACCAAGGGGGAACACTGGCACCGGGGGCACATCACGGCACTGAGGGGATGTTGCAGCGCCGGGGGGATGTTGCRGCACTGGGGGGGACATTGTGGCACCGGGGGGACATCACGGCCGCTCACCCGCCAGGCCGCGCAGCTCCGGCGGCAGCAGCGAGCCCAAGGTGTTGAAGAGGCCGGCGTCGGAGATGACGACGGGCGCCGCGATCTCCACCTCGTCCCCGTCCTCGCTCTGCCCCTTGCGCACGGCCACCCCTGCCGATGGGGACACRGTCACCCTGGTGTGTCCCCATGGCGGTGGGGAGTGATGCCAGGGAGGGGGGCTGCATCACCGACCCACGGCAGCGCCGTCGGGCGAGACGAGGATGCGGGTGACGGGGGCGCGCACGAGCACGGCGCCGCCGGCRCGCGCGATGACGGGCACGGCGTGGAAGGCGATCTCGCTGGCGCCGCCGCGCGGGTACCACGCGCCGCGCTGGTAGTGGTGCAGCATGAGCACGTTGATGAGGAAGCTGGAGTCRCGCGGCGCCGTGCCTGGGGACGCGGCGGTGTCACACGGCGCTGTCACCACGCGGCTGCCCCGCGCGGCCCCCTGCCCGCTCTGCAGGTCCCCCGGGGCCAGGCAGGGTGCGACATGGCCCTCGCCTGTCACAGCATGGCTGTCTTTTGCCATGACGTGGCCATACCCATCATGACATGGCCCTATCCATCATGACATGGCCCCGCCTATCATGCCATGGCCCTATCCATCATGACATGACCCTACCCGTCATGACATGGCCCTACCCATCATGACATGGCTCTATCCATCATGACATGGCCTTACCCATCATGACATGGCCCTATCCGTCATGGCATGGCCCCACCTGTCATGAAGTGGCCCTACCCATCATGAAATGGTCCTATCCATCATGACATGGCCTTACCCATCATGAAATGGCTGTATCCATCACGGCATGGCCCTATCCATCATGACATGGCCCTATCCATCATGGCATGGCCCCACCTGTCATGAAGTGGCCCTACCCATCATGACATGGCCCTACCCACCATGACATGGCCTTACCCATCATGACATGGCCCTACCCATCATGACATGGCCCTATCCATCATGACATGGCCCTACCCATCATGACATGTCCCATGAAATGGCTATATCCATCATGGCATGGCCCTACCCATCATGACATGGCCTTACCTATCACGACGTGGCCCTACCTACCACAACACAGCCCTCTCCTCCCACAGTACGGCCCCGCCTGCCCTGGCCCAGCCTCTCCTATCACGACACGGCGTTCTCCRTCACGACGCAGCCTTCCTGAATCGCAGCACAGCCTCTTGCTGTGACTGCATATCCGTATCGTGACTGCCCTCCGTATTGTGACATGTCCTTCCCTATCCCATAGAGCCCTCCCCTATCATGACGCAGCCTTCCCCCATCACGACGTGGTCCTCCCGTGTCACAACACAGCCCTCCCCTGTCGCGACAGCTCTAGTGCCACGTAGGACCCCGCACCGTAGAAGAGGTAGCTGAGCAGGGCGCGGAGGTCGCCGTCGGCCGTCAGCCGGGCCACGGCCTCGCTGTGGCTGGTGGCCGCCATGCGGAAGATGGGCGAGACCCAGTAGATGAGGCCGGTGCGGGTGAGGAAGGTGGCCAGCCAGAGCGGCACCATCTTGAGCAGCGCCAGCAGCGCCACGCGCCTGGCGGCCAGCTGCGGGCACGGGCCCTTGTCACCTGCTGGCCACCCCAGTGGCCAGGGTGACCTCCTGTGTCCCCAGCGGAACCGCCACATGCCCGTCACCACATGTCCACTGCCCGTGTCCCCACCATCCCCACTACCTGTGTGCCTACCATCCCATCACCCATGTGCCCATAATGTCCTTCAGCAATGCTCCCTAGAACGTCCATCACCCATGTCCCCACCATCCCCTTCACCAATGTGAATGTGCCCATCCTCCTCATCACCATGTCCATTGTTCATCCCCATCACCTATGTCCTTTCCATGTCCACAGCCCATGTGCCCACCATCCCATCACCCATGCCCAACATGTCCCCATAATGTCCTTCAGCAATGCTCTCACCATGCCCATCACCCATGTCCCCACCATCCCCTTCACCAATGTGCCCATCCTCCTCATCACCACATCCATTGCTCATCCCCATCCCCTACGTCCGTGCCCATGTGCCCACCACCCATCACCTATAGCGGTATCCCCATAAAGTCCATCACCCATGTCCCCACCATCCCCTTCACCAATGTCCCTACCGTCACCAATGCCCACATGCCACCACCCCACCGCCATGCCCACCTTCTCCCCGGCCCCATTCCCATGCCGCCCCCGCACCTTGGAGAGCCGCATGAACTCCCGGATCGCCGCCTTCTCGGCGGGGAACTGCTCCTCGAGCGCGGCGCCGAAGGCGGCCTTGCCAGCGCGGAGCCGGTACTCGCGGCCGCCCAGGCACACCACGTCGTAGGGGTCGGGCAGGCGCTGCCAGGCCAGCTGCCCGTCCGTGAGCTGGTCCAGCGCCACRCGCAGCATGCTGCCCTCGTGCATCTGCCCCACGTAGTGGATGCCTGCGGGAGACGGGGTTCGGCGCTGCCCGAGGGGACAGGGTGGCCTTGTCCCCAACCGGGTGCCCCGAGGTGACAGATGGGGGAATTAAGTCATTAGGTGTCTGCTGCGGGTCGCCTTGGGAGGTGCTGGGGTGGCCTGGCCTCCCCCCGTGCTGTGGGCACGGTGCATTGCAGAGCCCCTGTGGGCATGTGCATTGCAGAGCCCCTGCCATGGCATGAAAGTGGACCTGGGTATGTGTGCTCTGCAGTCAGACCTGTTGCACACACTGCAAGCAGACTTKGTGTGCACMCTGCRAGCAGCCCCAGCATGCACGCRATGCARGCAGACTTGGTGTGCACRCTGCAAGCAGCCCCAGCATGCACGCRATGCAGGCAGACTTGGTGTGCACSCTGCAAGCAGCCCCAGCATGCACGCGATGCAGGCAGAYTTGGTGTGCACACTGCGAGCAGCCCCAGCATGCACGCGATGCAGGCAGACTTGGTGTGCACMCTGCRAGCAGCCCCAGCATGCACATGATGCACACAGCTCTGGCATGTGCACTGCAAGCAAACCCGACGTGCATACTGCAAGCAGACCTGGCATGCGCGCACGCTGCACACGAGCAGTGCATGCACTGCAAACACACTGCAAGTGCGCAGCACGGGCATGCAGCACATGCACTGCAAGTGTGCAGCACAGGCATGCCCTGCACACCTACCATGCACACCACACGCTTGCACCTGCCCTGCATGCTTGCAATGCCCCATTGCTTGCAACGCAGGACATGCCCACTGCACAAGACGCTCTTGCGACAGCCCAGCCATCCGCAGCCACGCGCAGCATGCCCGCCCGCGCCCTGCACGCCAATGCACCACGCCGCCCGTGCAGCGCGTCGGCGGGGCCCTTACCCACGTCGAACTCGCTGCCGCGCTCCTCGAAGGTGTGACAGCAGCCGCCCGCCTGGTCGTGCTGCTCCAGCACCAGCACCCGCTTGCCGGCCTTGGCCAGGGTGCAGGCGGCCGCCAGGCCCCCCATGCCGCTGCCGATCACCACCGCGTCCAGCTGCCGCGGCACCCGCGCCGCGCTGAACCCTGTGCACATGGACGGGTGTGCGGACACACGGACGGGCATATGGACACACGGACAGGTGTGCGGACACACAGACGGGTGTGCAGACACACAGACGGGCATATGGACACACGGACGGGCATATGGACACACAGACGGGCGTACAGACACACAGACAGCCGTGCGGACACATGGGCGGGCGTGTGGACACACGGATGGGCGTGCAGACACACAGATGGGTGTGCGGGCACACGGACGGCCGTGCGGACACATGGGCGGGCGTGCGGACACGTGGACAGGCGTACAGATACACAGATGGGCGTGTGGACACACGGATGGGTGTGCGGACACATGGACGGGTGTATGGACACACGGGCCCGCGGGYCACGGCAGGGCAGGAGCAGCAGGGAGTGGAGTGGATAGGCGGGTGGACGGACGGATAAAACRGACAGGCGGATAAAAGGGGCAGACGGAGAGGAGGGATGGACGGAGAGAAGGAGGGATGGACAGGGATGGAGGGAGAGGAGGAGGGTTGGCTGGATGGAGGGATGCACAGACAGAGAGGGAATGGGAGAGATGGATAGGGGATGGGATGGGATGGACAGACGGATGGAGGGATGGACATGAAGGAGCACCCACCCGGGGGACGGGAAGCAGGCACCCACAGGGACAGACGGCAGCGGGTGCAGACGCACGGACACAGGCGCCCGGCGCCGCGAGCACTTACCCTGCTTCAGCACCTTGTCCCGCGCCCGCCGGTCCGTCACGAGCGGCCGCGGCGGCCCCGAGGGCGGCTCGGCAAAGGGGTTGCGCCCGGGGGCCAGCAGCCGGCGGGCCRCGAGCCCCAGGGCGCCCAGTGCCACCAGCAGCAGCAGCAGAGCCCACATGCTGCCGCGCTGCCCGCGCCTGGCGGCCCCGCGAACTTAGCCGGGCGCCAGCTTATGGGCACGGGAGCTTAGCGGTGTGCAGGCTTATGGGCATGGGAGCTTAAGGCGCGGGAGCTTATAGGCGCACAAGCTTTTAGGCCTGGGAGCTTATATCCGTGCAAGCTTATAGGCCTGGGAGCTTATATCCGTGCAAGCTTCTCTGCATGTGGGCTTATAGCGGCGTGTTTATAGGCCTGGGGGCTTATAGGTGTGCAAGGGTATATGCACGGGAGCGTATAGGTGCATGGGCTCGTGGGCACCGGAGCTTACGGCAGCGGGAGCTCGTGGCGCGGGAGGCCCATCGGCGGCGCAGGGTGCAGGGTGCAGGGGACACGGGGCAGCGCAGGGTGCAGGGGACACGGGGCAGCGCAGGAGGCGGAGGCGGGCACGGCCCCCCGGCTTAACCCCTTGCTGGCGGTGCAGGGACACGTCGGGACGCGGGGCTGTCCCCATGGGTGACACTGAGCGGTGCATGGGGGGGGTGTTGGGGGTGTCCGCCTGTGCGTGCACAGCCGCGCACACACACGCACGCACACGCACACACACGCGTGCACACACACACCAGTGCCACCCCTGGTGGCTGCAGCTCTGCTGACCTCTCCTGGCAGCGTCACGCAAGGGCCATGGGCACACGTGCACACACATGTGCATGCACACAACAAACATGCACACACACATGTGCGCACACATACATGCGCACACACATGCACGCGCATGCACACACACATGTACACACGCACAAATGCATGCAAGCATGCACACACATGCACACACATGCACATGTGCACACGCGCACACGCATACATGTGCATGCACACACACGCATGCACACACACGCATATGCACACGCACACACATCCACACATGCACATACGTGCACACACGCRCATGCACACACAGGCACACGCACACAATCCCCAACACACGCATGCCCCATTGCACCCTAACTGCCCCCCCCAACAACCCGCCCCAAAAGTTCGGCACCCCCTGGACGGACAGCCCCCCCAGACCCCCGGGGTGTCCGCACCCCTCCCCAAGCCCCCACTCGACCACTGCTTTTCTCTCCTTATCTTTAATAAAAGTAACAGCAAAGTACCAAAACGGGGGGGGCAGCCCCGCGGGGGGGCACGGGGCGCTTGGGGACACCGAGGGGACACGCTCGGCTACCGGGGGCTGCAGGCAGTGAGGGAGGGGGCTGGGGCACATACGTGTGCACACGCGTGCACACAAATACACGTGTGTGCACATGCACCCCCCGCCACCCTAAAACCACCTCTCCAGTAGTCGCGGCCCCCTCCTCACCGGGGTCATTATGGGGTTAATTACGGGGGTAATTACAGGGTTAATTACAGGGTTGACCTGGGTGGGCGGGGGGACTGCATGGGGTTATTGCTACCTAGGAAGGGACAATGGGGGGGGGTGACAATGTCAGAGATGGGGCCCCACCCCAGCATGGGGGCACAAAGGGTCTGGGGGGTGGGGAGGGGGTCCCACCCCAAGTGCTGGGGTGGGGGGGCAGCCCCCCCACCCCAAACCCGTGACACCCCGTGGAGTGGGCGGCGGGGAGGACCAGGCCAGGGGGATAAAAGTGGGGGTGCTGGGGGGCTATTTTGGCAGTGAATCAGCTGTGCGGGCGCTGGGGAGGGGGACGGAGCCCCAGAAGCCACGGGGAGGGTCCCACACCCCGCCCACGCCCCCCACGCCAGGACGGGGAGCGAGGGACAGGCTGGAAACGGGGGGCACAAAACAGGGGTGTCCCCCCTCCCCGGCCCCTCCATGAGCTCCCGGCTGAGCGCGGCCAGCTCGTGACAGCAGTGGGGTGCCGGCGGGTGCCGGGGCTAGTAGACCCAGGCGACGGGCACCCACTGGGGCTCGTGGCGCAGGCGCTCCATGGCCGCGCGCAGCCGCCCGAACGTCTGCTCCAGGTCGGCGTTGGTGAGGCTCAGGTCGAAGTAGTGGCCGTAGCCGCGCTGGATGCGGCCGCTCTCCTCCACCGTGCGCCGGGCGTCCGCGTCCTGCCCCGGGGGGACACGGCGAGCATTGGGGACACGGCGAGCATTGGGGACATGGTGATCAGGAGGGACACGGCGAGCATTGGGGACATGGTGATCATTGGGGATGCAGCGCTCAGGGGGGACACGGTGATCAGGAAGGATGCGGTGAGCGTTGGGGACACGGCGAGCATTGGGGACACGGCGAGCATTGGGGACATGGTGATCATTGGGGATGCAGCGCTCAGGGGGGACACGGTGATCAGGAGGGACATGGTGACCACTGAGGACACAAGAGTCATTGGGAACGTGGCGCTCAGTGGGGACACAGTGCTCGGGGGGACGCAGTGATCATTGGGGACACAGTGCTTGGGGAGGACATGGCGCTCGGCGGGGCACGGTGATCACTGGGGACATAGTGATCGTT